CTGACAAAGGTCGAGAGGCGCCAAATAAAATTTTTACAGCGGCCGATGAGAAGTGGATAGTCAGAAAAGTTAAGAAAGATCCAACAATGAGTGCACCAGCTTTGAAACGTGCTTGGAAAGTCATGTCATCCAGAAACAATCAGAAGGATTCTTCGAAATACTGATTTTCATGGACGAACAGCCCGAAACAAACCATTTATTAGTGAGCGCAATAGAAAAAGCAGAATGGAGTTCGCCAAAAGCCACGTTAATAAAGACGAAACGTTTTGGAATGAAGTAATTTTTGCAGACGAAAATAAATTTAACCTTTTTGGTTCCGATGGGAAGTCTTTCGTGTGGCGCAAACCTAATACGGAGCTGCAACGTAAAAATTTGCGCGCCACAGTAAAACACGGTGGAGGCCATGTAATGGTTTGGGGCTGTATGTCCTCAGCGGGTGTCGGAACCTTGAATTTCATAGAAGAAATAATTAATAAAACAATTTATTTGAATTTGTTGAAAAATAATTTACTACAAAGTGCTGAAAAATTGGGTAGCCGGGAGCAGTTTAGGTTCTACCAAGACAACGACCCGAAGCACAAATCGGGAGTTGTTAGATCTTGGCTTATTTGGAATTGCCCACATGTGGTTGAAACGCTAGCACAATCGCCCGATCTCAATGTTATTGAGAATTTATGGAGTGTTCTTGAAAAAAAATAAGGAAACATCAAATAAGCAACCGGCAATGCTTGAAAACGGCACTGCAATTGGAGTGGGAGAGAATAACACCCGATTGCACCAAAAAGCTGGTTAGCTCCATGCAATCTCGGCTGAATTCAGTATTACAACAAAAGGGTTATCCTACTAAATATTAGTTAGTAGAAAATTTCTAAATAAAGTAAAACACATAACACCTTTTCGGTTTAAGTTTGTTACGGTACACGAAGTCGTTTTACAATGTGTTATGTTTTTGTTGTCGAAATTCTATACAAACATTTAATATTTTGGTTTTGTTTATTGGTGTTTGTATGTCGCAGATATATGTCATTAAAAACTCATTAAGGNTGTGTTATGTTTTTGTTGTCGAAATTCTATACAAAAATTTAATATTTTGGTTTTGTTTATTGGTGTTTGTATGTCGCAGATATATGTCATTAAAAACTCATTAAGGTTTTTTTTGCAAATAAAGCACATAGAATATATATAATATATACAAAATATGACACGTTTTTCTTTCAATCACTGACTACACGAAATAAGCTGTGAGCCACTGTACATATTTACTCGGTAATTTAATTTTTATTTTCATAACCAAAACATTCAATCCCCTGATTTAAGCTGAAGCGTTCTAGATTTTGTGGTTTTGATAGGAAGTAGACTGGTGTGGTGTATCACGATAGCTCTGGGCCTGAGGAAATTTTTGATTCTGTGTGAAGGTGTGAGCGAATGGAAGAGAGTAATTCTGAACAACCTGTGGTTGGTGGATTAGGGTTATTTGGTACGAATGGACGGGTGACTAAGAGTGTTACTAGAGCCCCAGAAAACAAAGTAGTGGACTCTCTGTTTACTCAAATAGACACAAGGATACCACATTCGATAGATTTTCTGCCTACATATTATTTTAATAGGTGCGTCTCGCGCATTTTTAGTACACTTGTCACTCAGAAGAAGTAGCAGTGAAAGAGACATCCAGCAGCTTGAGTTTTTCCAGGAAAATAGAAGAGCTCTTCCAAATGTCTGACTCCGAAGAACCAGGACCCAGTGGGGCAGCTAACCCCACAACATGCGAACAGACGTGTCAAGCCTCAGCAACCGAGTCGCCGATATGGAGACGTCGGCACCAGCTTTAGGTAACCGGCCCGGTAACATGCCAGACCGCTTCAAAAGGATGAGTGAACGCGAAACCCATGATACGTCCAAATGGAAGAAGGTTGACCTCGATAAGTGGCATATAAAATTTGACGGGTTAGGAAAGAGAGTTACAGTAGAAAGTTTCTTGTTAAGAGTAGAGAAAATGCGGGCGCAGTTTGAAATCTCATACCGTCAGTTGTTTGCGGATTTCCACTGCTTGGTATCAGGCAACGCGGCCTAGTGATTTTGGCAGGTTTTAGAGGACCACGTAGATGACACAAGTTTTGGCTATTTTGAGTTTCAATTTATTTCAATATTAAATATTAGTACATTAAGACCAATATCTTTTATACCACAACAAATACATTCAATACAAAGACATACATTAATACATATAATTAACTAAGTCACATATACATAGGTTAACAGAGATTAACTTTAATTATTAGATGGTTCATCAGTTGTTAGAAAAGTAGCTATATAAAAGGTTTTTGAAGTTGCTTTTATTGATCTTGCTTCTAATTGAATTAATTAATTGGGAATTGAATTCCAGATTCATATAGCATTGATGAAAAATAGTCTAGTAGAACTTAAAGTTAAATAAAAGGATCATTGGATCACAGGAATGCTCAGACTTTGGAAAAATTAATTTCTCATAAAGATAAGGTGGAGTCTTTGTGCTGATAAGTTTAAAGAGAAAGACGCAGTTTCGTGCTTTTAGATAATTAGTGGTGTCACATCCTAGCAAGCTACATCTCCACGCAGATATATGGTCAAACTTCCGCAATCCATATACATAACGTGTAATTTGGTTAAATAAGGTGTCAAATTTTATGTGATGATCTGGAATCTAGGTTACTATAAACCACCTCAGCATAAGTAATAATGGGTAAAATTAATTGACGCGCAAGCTTTCTTCTAGTGGGAATCGGAACAAACGTGCCGATTGCCTTAGATTTTTTTAGAATACCATATACTTTGTTCACAACAGAATTAACGTGATAAACGCAGCTAAGGCTAGAATTGATAACAAACCCCAAATTGGTTACTTTATCAATTAATTTCAGGGAATTGGTTTCAAGATAAACTCAAGNCGTGGTATATTATCTAAGTACATATTAACTCCGCCATCAGTACAAAGCTTATCAGGGTAAGCGACTAGTGGATTTGCGCACGCATACATATAATATCCTCTATTTCTGCCAATTCGATGCTTCGCAGCAAATTTATAATCAAATTGCTGTTGATTTGCTGCTGCTGCGCTGTCTTTGTGCTTCCACAATTTGCTTTCGAAATTTCATAGCAAAACGGCAGCCAAAGCATTTGCTTTTTTCTGAATTGCTTTTGCTTTGCTTTCGATATCATACATGCCGAAGTCAAAGCACAGCAAAAGCAAATTAAATAAAATTATTACAGCATTTTCAAACCCTGAACTGAAGGAATACTGCGAAAAGGGACTTTTGTCTTAGAAATAGAAACAGGTGGAACATACGATTTCGCAGGGTTAAGGGAAAGGCCGTTAAGAGCAGCCCAATGCGAGATTAATGATAAGTCCATATTCAAATCACATGTGATTCTCTCCATATCCCTAGACGGACCCGATAAATATATCTGGATGTCACCGGCATATGCATGCATTTTTACATATTGGCATGTCCTGAATATGTCATTTATGAAAACATTAAATAACAAGGGGCCTAATATAGATCCTTGAGGAACACCGCGTGTTACGGATTTAGTTCTAGAGGTTACTGAACCAACCTTCACACGCTGGGTACTACCTATTAGGTAGCTTTTCATAGGAGATAGTGCAGTTTTACCGAATCCGAAATAATATGAAAGTTTAGAGCGGAGTATGTGATCTACGGAGTCAAATGCTTTGGAAAAGTCAAGCAGGCACAGGAGAGAAAATCATCATTATCAAAAGCCATTTCCAAGTCGTCAAGAATTTTTACTACCGCAGTTGAACAACCATGCCCTGCTTCACTGCTGCGATCACGGGAAGCACATATCGTCGTTTAAAGTGAAAAA